GCTACAAGGACTCGCCCACATCTTCGCTGGAGCTCATGAACGAGCCCCCGCCTGCCGGGCCGACGCGTCGCACCTCCCCCGCAGCCCGCGGGCTGCAACCCGGCCGTCATGTCCGCCTGGACCGACGAGATGTCGACCTTTGTCCGCAGCATCGACCCCTACCACCTCATCACCTGGGGCGGCGAGGGCGCCTTCAACCGTGAGTCCGACGACTGGGCCTACAACGGCGCCGACGGCTCCGACTTTGACCACGAGATGACCCTTAAGAACATTGACTTTGGCACCTTCCACCTCTACCCCGACTGGTGGAGCAAGACGGTCGAGTGGTCGAACCAGTGGATCGTCGACCACGGCGCCGTCGGCCGCGACGTCGGCAAGCCCGTCGTCTTTGAGGAGTACGGCTGGCTCCAGCCCGACAAGCGCCTCGAGTACCTCGGCCAGGTCCGCAACGAGACGAGGCTCGAGGTCATCAGCCACTGGCAGGAGCTGTCCATCGAGGGCGGCATGCCCGACATGTACTGGCAGTACGGCTACTGCGGCTACTCGTACGGCTGCAACCACAACGACGGCTTCACCATTTATCTCAACGACACCGAGGCCGACGTCCTGATCTACCAGCACGCTGCCAAGGTCAACGGCGAGAACTAGAGTGGAGGACTGTATATATGACTCGAGTCTCGGGCGTAGCCCTGGAGCTCGTGTCGCTAGCGTAGCATGTATATATAATGACCATCATGTTCAAGACGATTCGTTTGTGCGATTTGATCCCGTCAGTCTTCCCTGAGACACTCTGCGCGTACCAACATTCGATTATGTGGGGAAGTTATGCCATACTGGGTGTTGGGCAGAGTGCACGTGGCCATGACATGCCGTCTATTTTTCATGTAGCCGCCATAGTACGGGGCAAAGGACATCATCAGTACGGGCATGGCGAGATGGCGCAGGGCAAGAAAATTGTTCAAAAACACATAATCGTATTCATCAACTCCAAAGCGCATTTCCATCATCTCGACAAACCCATGACCTTGTTTCCGTACTGCAACAAATCCTTCTCCGCCTGCGTCGCAGATGCCGCCGCATCAAACGCCGCAAAGCCCGCAGCTTTCCGCGCCGCACTGTCCGCCATGGAGTGGAAGTCCTGCACACCCGGCCTGCCCCTGTGCTCGCTCTCGCCGAGACCGCCCGGGAAGTCCGGCGGCGGAATCCCAGCTTCGAAGGCATCGCGCTGCCGCCTCACGTAGTCAAGGCTTGGCCTCGTGGTCGGACACGCAGGGATGTAGAGCACGCTCGAATCCCCGGTGCCCTGGTGAACCTTGTCGACGGCGTGGATAGTGTCGCAGTGCCATGCGACGTAATCGCCCGGCTTGATGCGGGGGACGTGGACCATGGTGAAGGGGAGGTTCAGATGGGGGTGCCAGCCGTGGTTGAGCTCTTGGCCGCTACCGGGCCAAGCGCCTTGGAGTGTCGACGTGATTGAGTCTTCCAACTTCCAATTGCTCGGATCCAGAAACGCAGGCTGGTACACCTGCTCACCCTCGCCAGTGGCAGAGTTATGGGCGGGAAGTGCCTTGGGTGTGAAGAACGGCCGGAGGAGGTAGTATGCGGTGGCGAGGTTGAACAGGGGGTTCACAAGTAGAGTTCCCTCCTTAGGGCCTGTGTGTGACATGCTGAGCCAGCCTCTGCGACAAAGGTTAGCAACTGACTGTGAATGGTCGATGATTTGAGAGTCCCACTGGAACATTCGGAACATGGAGCATGAACCGGCGCCATTGTACAGGTCGGAGACAGCATCAAGCCGCGTGCTTGTCTCCCAGGGGTCGAATTCCTCCCAGGAGCCTTCAAATATCTTGTCGTAGACGTGACCCTTGCCGTAGCCATCGTCTTCCCATCGCTCCACGCTGCCGCCGTCGACATGGGGGCCCAATGCAAAGCCAGCGTCGCCAGGCTGACGGATCCTGAGACGGTCGGCATACGTCAGGGGTTGGTCGGACGAGAACTCTGCATTGGCGTCTTTCGAGTGCCAATACGACATCAGGAGCTTCTGCGTTTTGAGCATGTTGGGATGAGAGCGTGCCGCTAGTTGAGACTTGGACCAATACAGCTCAAAGACCTGGGGGTCATGAGGAGGGAAGGCTGAAGGTTGTTAGCACATGACTGAGACGTTTCGTTCCTCGTCGTGCTCACCTTTCGTGGAAGGGTTCGCGGCAATGTACTTTTGTACCTCCGTCTTATATGAACGGGCCTCATCTTCTGGTACGACCTGGCGCACGACGGCAACACCTCGTTTTCGGAACGCCTCGTTAAAGGAAGGTGAAGGGTTTGCCAAGTCAGAGAATGGAATCTCCGGCACGATAGTGTTCCTATTAGCCTTGATCTCTTCCGTCTCAACCCTGAGACGCTCCAGGAGACGATTCCAGCTCGCATGAAGGGCGTTCCTGCTTGGACTGCGACTGAGGAGTGCCCTCTTGACGTCGGCAAACCTCGTAGGCAATGCCTCGTCATCGGCGCCAGAGAGGGACCTGAAAACCGATGAAATATCACCCTCTTTGCGTGCAGATGCCGTGGCCTCAGCACCTGCAAACCGACGCTGCGACTGGGACAAGCCTAGCCTGATCGAAGCTGGTTGAAGGCGGGAACACCTCGTTATGGCTGACATGCTGAGAGTATTGTTCAGGCGAAAAAAGAAAAGGCGGATATCGTAACTCATGAGCACCATGGTATACAAGTTGGCAAATGTTTTATTCCAGCTCGCAGTCCGTTCATCATACGCATATGGGAACCTGTAAAGGAAAGCAGGTCGAGTGTTGATGAATCGCGATTACCGTTTAAGGAAGTTCGCGTGCACGGAATGCCATTTACAGAATCCCGCTGCCGTAGGGGGCCGGGTTTAACCGAATTAGGGAGACCCGCGATCTTGACATCACGCGGGGCCCAGCATTTTTTCACGTCAGTGGCTTTTGTGACGGTCCCAGATGAAGTGAACTAAAAAGTCTGCGCTGTTCGGGGATGTCTCCCTGGGGGCTCTGTTGGCGGTCGCGTTTTTGTGGTATGCCCGCCTCGTTCTCGCTGTGCCCACTTAGTGGTGCTCTTCGAAAGCACCCTCTTGAAACCATTCATCTGGCATAAACGACATGGTTGGATCCAGGGCGGCCGAAAATAGTGCATCGATGCGGTTAAGATGGAAATCCGGGTCAAAGTCCTCGAATATTCCCGGGACATCTGTGAAGTCCATGTTGTCAAACGGAGTGGTGCCCATTGTCATTTGAGATGGGTCAAGACTAGGCTGTCCAGGCAAGGGTGCCGTGTAAGCGCTGGCCACGGGGACAGACGAAGCCTCCGCCGAGGGCCTTTGGCGTAGTTGCGTGCCTTGCGTTGCCTCGAGCTCTTCGGCTTCGAAGGTTGCTAATGTTGTCTGGGTAGTCTGGTCAGTTGCCTCTACGTCTCTGGCAACGCTCTGTCTGCTGCTGTTTGACGGTTGATTGGCCCTGTTCCTGTTCCCCGACACCCTCTCGACCTCCTGCAATGTATCGTTGGCGAGCTTCGCCATTGTGCAGGCGGAGCGAAATGATATACTCAGTTTTTCCAGGATGTCACAGCTGCTATGGAATGTACTGTACGCCTGTTTCCGCTTGTAGGGTACGTTACTATTTCGTAGGCTCTGATAGGCTACCGAGGTGGCCATGGACACTGCGTATGGGAGGATGGCCCAGTAGGTCATTGACGTTTTGAACTCCCCAAGAGCGACAGACACGATGCTCGAGGCGCTGTATATCTGAAGCGCTGACAAAGGGACGCGCTCAGGCGATTTGTCACCCTTGTGTGGTCGGCTCTGCAAGATTACCACCGAGAGGTAGAACATCTCCAGAGAAGCTATGTGACAGGTTAGCGAAGCTCAAAGGTTGTCTCAGTACTGTTTCTTGATTCGAACCAACTTACCGAGTAACGAGAACCCAATGTCTAGAGCATCTGCCTCCTGAGCCAAAGTTTCAAATGAGTGAACTTTGCCGGTCGAAGATTGGCAATCTGGAGTCGCATGAGGGCGGTATTGAGAGATGACAGTATCAAGGAACTGCGTAATGCCGATGAAGAGTCGAAAGGAGGGTTGCTGTTCTGGTATTGCCTCGAAGATCCTCATATTCATATCCTGTTGATGGATTGTGATGGGTCGCCCGTTTGCAGTAGCATTCAAGCGATCCAATGTCCAGACGCACCAGAAAATCCTTCGAGATTTTTCCGTGCTACTGGTGTCACCGGGCCAGCCGAGATGGAGGCCCAAGGTAAGCGACAGCTGAACAGCTTGTGCGGTGTATGCGGTTGAAATCTCGCTCGCCGAAGATCTGTCGGTGTAGAAAGCCATGAGCACCGTTACTTGCAGCAGCACCATCCTGTTACGGATGAAGCCCATGTCCAGGGACAGTTTCAATGCCGTTGCGATACTAGACCGAAACTCGAGTTGCGAGAGAAGACTCTCGCCGAAGGAGAGCTTCAGATGAGGTTTCATCGACGGATCGAGGGCTGCTTGTAGGCATATACATTGCTTGAGAGCGACGGCATCCATCAAATCGTGCTGGTCGATGGCTTCCTCATGCAAGATGGGGAATAGCGGATCGAACTTGGCATAATAGAGGCGTGACAAGAGCTCGAACTCTTTCTTGGGAGGTAGTACGAGTGCGCACTCTCTCCGGAGGTAGGGATAGAGCGCTTGAAGTCCAGCCAAGCCCTCAAGACGGTAGGCAGGGCTGCCAACCGGTTCAACTATGACATTGCCGCCCTGTTGCTGATCATCTGTAGGGCCTTGGTCATCAGTTCTCTGACCCAGCCAGACTCCCACCTCACCTGGCCTCGAAGATTTCTGAACAGTGGGTTTTCGTGTGCGGTTTTCCAAGAAAGAAGCCTCGGGGCTCAGGTCGCCGACGAATCGCAAGTATGCGCCTTCAGACGGGGCCAATGATGATACAGGCTTGGCGCTTTGCGGAGGCTGCAGTGATCGCACCAGCGCAGAAGAGGTGTCATGTGGTTTGGTGGTCTTTGCTATAACTCGCGAGTTTTCATCCGCGACAGCAGAGTCTTCGCTCCGAGGTTGATCGAGCCTCTGTGTTGACGACGATCGAGTTGCAGGAGACCCATTTGAGCTCACAGGCTGATTATGGGAACATTTTTTCTTTGCCATGTTGTCAGCTAAGTTCAATAGATGTCTAAGACCGCCGCTTTTGGTCATGTACGCGCCAAGAAAGCTCTCCAGGACTCACATGGCGCTTCTTGCACTGATCACAGGACTTGCCAGAGTGCTTGCGTTTGGTCCCAACACCGCCGACATTGTCGGATACAAACTTGAACATTGCTACCCAAGCATGGTGCTACACACTATGACGAAGGCGCAGTCCTGTAGATGTTTCCGAGGCGGCAAGGTCGATGTCAGGTGAGCATTTAAGTAGGAAGACACGAAGTCAGCGTCGTGAGCACTTCCCGTGCCCAGCCAGACAAGTACCAAGCTACCCTGCCTTCATGACCGACTAGCTGGTGCTGTCCCTCACCACAATGATGACATAATACAGATCCTGTTATTTGCAACCACGTGATGGTGCTCACCAGCGCGCCTTCGATGTAGTAGACAATCACTAATGGCTGATAATGAATTATAGCATGATTCCCTTCTTTGCCATACTTTCAAGATGGCAACCTAGATGCTGGAATATGAAAAGATAGGGGAGCATAGCACATTAATAATGGGATCCCAATGGCGTGTCGGGGAGTGACGGATCCAGTGCGTGGGATGTCGGGGAGTAGCGGGCTTCCATCCCACCAAGCGCACATTTACAGGCTGAGGGGCGCTGGAACAGTACACCATTGACGTATTTGCACCCCCAGATTTGCCAAATGAGGGATGGTCACTGATCACGACAGGGGAGCCCCGAGTGATGAGAAGCGCTGTGAGCCCACCAGGACATCCCACTTTGGCCCACTACACCACTACAGTGCACAGCGGGGTCGCCATGACACACATGAGGCTTGATCGCAAGCAACAGACGGAACATACTTCAGGTTTCCTATCGCCGTCATTTGCACTGAATTCTTTTCTTGCTTTTTTTCACTTCATCAATCAAACCTCTGAAACTAGAAAAAACTTTCTCATCACACAATGTCTATCGGAGTCGGTCTTGTGGGTGGAGGTCAGTCTTGTCCCAACCCTCACCTTGCCAGCATTACTTACACCCCAGAGCGGGGCTCTTGCCAACTCTTTCTCGCTCTGACGATGTTTGGCTGACCTCTTGAACTCAGGCATTTGGGCGCGCGAGGAGCACGCGGTACGAAAAACTCACGTCTCTTTCGCAGCATTGCGTATTTTCCACAATTGCGGCTAACGAGGACATCCAGCCCGCCATCGAGGCTGCCAAGGACCTTACCCTCAAGGCGGTTTTCTCGAGAACCCTGAAGTCTGCACAATCTATCGCGGACGTCGTAGCAGGATCCCCTCAGCTTTACTCCGATGAAGGGGATGCCGGATTTGATGCTCTATTGGAGCGGAGCGATGTTGACGCCATTATTGTCTCGTGAGTAGCGCAGTGCTGGCTGGTGAGCTTCAAACACTAACAGCAGCGTAGGCTGCCCATTGCCAATCAGCCGCCGTACATTCGTAAGGCCCTGCTGGCGGGAAAGCATGTCCTCTCTGAGAAGCCCGTAGCAGAGAACGTCAAGGACGCCGTTGAGCTCATCAAGTGGTACCGCTCCGAAATCAAGGGCCCGAGCTGGACCATCGGCGAGAACTGGCGTTTCCTCAAGAGTTACGAGTTCGCCGCCGATGAGCTGAAGAAAGGCTCTCTGGGCAAGATCATCGGCTTTCATGGCCGCCAGCATGGATGCGTTCCCCTGAATTGGAAGTTCAACCGTAAGACGCCTTGAGATCACCTACAAAGATGTGGCACACTTGCTGACTGCAGTCGTCTAGTCACCGAGTGGCGAAGGAACCCGACCCATCAGGGTGGCTATCTCCTCGATGGAGGTGTCCACTATATGGCCGGTCTTCGTCTTCTGCTTGCTTCCCTGTCGAGTGATCAGGTTGCCCGTCTGTCTTCGTTCACAAGTCAGATCAAGGAATACCTTCCTCCCGTTGACACGGCCGATGTCATCATTAAGACCAAGACTGGCGTGACTGGAACGTTCCAGATATCCAGGGGCACCAGCCTGATCGCCGATGAGTGGACTGTTGCGTGCGAGAACGGGTGGATCAAGATCGAGAACGAAAAGGTCACAATTTCGCGTGATGGCGCCGAGACGGTTGAGACTGTGGCTAACGAGAGGTCTGGAGTTCCTCCCGAGATCCGTGCCTGGGGAGAAGCCCTTGTTGCTGGCAAAGTACGCCCGGAGCAAGAGCCTGAGGCGGCTCTTGCAGACTTGGAATTGGTGAGTCGTGATCTTCCTCAAGGATACAATATTATGAAGCTAACGAACTACCATTAAGATCGAACTCATGCTTCGAAGTGGAGAGAGCAACGGGACGCCGGTCGATACTCAGCATCAGGATGTGTGAGCGTTCTATTGTTCACATTATCGTCGATCACAAGCTGCGCCAATACACTGTCATGTTCATGACTCACAACGAGAATGAAACGTTCTCGGAGAGCCTTCTTTCTATTTTGATCATATGACGTTCTCAAATTGAGAGCAGAAACATCAAAAGATCAGCGAGGAAGGCAGACTGGGCTGGGAAGTGTACAATGAAAAGGCATGCAAGACTATATGAAACCGATGATTGATCAAAGAATGCACTGGTAGAAAATTGATCCCTGGTGTAAACCATCTCTTTTCGACCACCTCATTTGTATATCTATCTTCATGACATTTGATGTCGGCGCCGTCCTCTTTACGGCAGCGTGACAAGGACTCCAGCAAATCACCAAGGGTGCACCTTAGCCTGTTTTGCTACAAATCGATCCATTTCTCCATCTCTGTCTCCGCGGATCATCTCCAAGATTCCCTGGGCACTGGTTTCTGCCGACTCTGCACCGTTGTTGATTTTGTTCTGTCTGTCGCCCTCTCCTGCCAGGTTGGTAACGACATATCCAGGGTCAAATGCCCAAACCTTGGCAGGATGCTCCCAAGTTCTGTACTGGTAGGCCAGAGATGCGGTCAACATGTTGAGGGCCGCCTTGCTCATGCGGTAGACCTCGCCAGTCACATGGTACTCCCTGATGGACTTGTCCATTCGAAGGTTGATGGAGCCAAGCGAAGATGAAACGTTGATGATTCGAGGGTCGACAGACTTCTTCAGTAAGGGCTCCAAAGCCTGCGTCAATAACATTACGCCAAATACGTTGGTGTTGAAGACCTCTTGGAGGTGTTCGCGTGAGACAGGCCCGTCATGGCTATAGATGCCGGCATTGTTGACCAAGACATCGATAGCATCGAATCTCACTGCCAATTGCTCCGCGGCCGCTTTGATGGAGTCGTCAGAGGTAATGTCAAGCTCGACGAAGCTCAGCGTACCAGCCGGTTTGCGAGCTTCGATTTCAAGTAGAGCTTTGCGGCCCTTGGTTTCTGAACGGGCGGTCATGATGACATGGTTATCTGCTGAGGCGTTGGCGAGGATGTACGACGTATCGTACCCAATTCCCGAATTCGCGCCTATGCACAAGGTTAGCTGATAGCATACCGCTACGGCGGCTTGGGATTTACCAGTAATGAGTATGAACTTTTTATTTGACGTCATATTTGCGAGGATTTCACACAACGGCGGCAATAAATAGATGCAAACACTTGAGGCTACCTCAGTTGGAAACAATAAAACGACGACAACCAGCTGAAGGATAGAGCTAGTTAGCTTTCAGATATGTTGTCGGCCATGAGCAGCATGGACATGATCAATCCTTTTTTTTGTCGTCATTTGAATTTGTCAGTACACCTGTGCTATGCGTATACGGAGTTAGGATATGTCCATAGTTCGATATCCGAGCATCAATACCGCATTTAACCCCGGAGCCGGATTAGTGACATAGCGCACATCCTCCGTAGTTCGAGCAGCTTTCATGCAACTGGTCTAGGAATATTGATTCACATATTTCTAAGTCTACTGGAGCTATTGATGATAAATCATTCCCATCGTGATGCCCCCAGGTAGTGGACGAACTGGCCGACGCCAGTCTTTACATGCGATCAAAGGACTGGGCCTGGCCATTCGGGCTTTGCCCATGCCCAGGACTCGTTCCCGTCGGCCAATTAATCGACAGTGCTAGAATCTGCATCATGTGTCTTTGCGGAGCGCCTCTGCAATGAGCCAGCGTAAGGGCAGCTGTCCATGACCTGAAAACAGGTAGTCGAAAGGTTTAGTGACCAACAGTGCTGCGTCAGAATGATGAACCCCGCACCAGTATCGTGATGTGCCTCATCGCTAGCCTTTGATCATTTGCTGTGCAAACCTTGAGTCGCCTGCACGCCGAACTCTAATTCCTAATGATGCACTGCACACGCATGTTGATGTCCAATGGGTGCTGAAAGTGCTAGACCAGTGCATGTGTCGAACCAGCGTTGGCTTCATGTCGCCTTTGTGACACACGAGAGCCTATGCAGAATGACATTTTAGGTGATTATTGAGCTACTATTAAACACTGCAGTGCCTGCACGCAGCGGTGATTTTCTCCAGAGTTGCACATCATTTCACCCCACACCACCCTTCCCTAGGGTATCACGACCCTGAAGTCAAGTCGCGATATCAATTTACTCGCCTACTTTTTCAAGCCCTCAAACCTAAGATGACGGCAAAGAAGATCATTACCGTGTTTGGAGCCACTGGCCAGCAAGGTGGTTCGGTGGTTTCCGCGATCCTTCAAGATGCCAGACTTTCGAGCGAGTGGTCTGTTCGTGCTGTAACCCGGGACACCACGAAAGAGTCCGCCAAGAAGCTCGCGGCCCAGGGCGCCGAGACTGTCCAGGTAATCCCGCTGGTCACTGAGCCCTATATCTTAGAAGAAGGTCTCCAAGCTGACAGGCGCACAAAGGCCGATTTATCTGACAAGAAGTCGGTCGTCCAAGCTATTGCCGGGGCTGAGGCCGTGTTCGCCGTGACCAACTACTGGGAATCCCTGAACGCAGAGCTCGAGGTCAAACAGGGAAAAGACATTGCCGATGCCGCTCAAGAAACTGGCGTCAAGCACTTCATTTGGAGCTCTCTCATGGATGTCAAGAAATGTAAGTACCAAAGGCGCTTTTGAGCCTCGTTGATCAGCGCAGTTGACATGGCGTGCCTCAGTGACCAACGGCAAGCTCCCCCACGTCTACCACTTTGACGGTAAGGCTGCGGTGGAGGAGCATACCCGCTCTCTTGGCATCCCCGCAACTTTCTTTATGCCAGGCTTCTACATGACCAACATTCCCGGCCAGGCAATGCGCGCCGACCCCCCCGCTCACGTGTGGACTCTGGCGTTGCCGATGCCCGAGAGCGCACCCATTCCCGTCTTCGATATCACCGACACGGGCAAAGTCGTCAAATCCATCATTCAGAACAAGGAAAAGGTCCTGGGAAAGCGGGTGCTGGGTGCTTACAAATACATGACGCCGAAGGAGCTCCTCGAGGAGTTCAAGGCCGTGTTTCCCGAGGCTGGCAAGGATGCGACCTTCTTCTCGCTTCCCCACACGGCTTACACCGACATTCTCAAAGGCATGGGACTCCCCGACTTTGCCGCAGAGGAAATGCTCGAGAACATGCGTCTCATGGACGAGGGCGGCTACTATGGCGGTGCATCTCTAGACGAGTCGCACGCGCTCCTCGAGGACCCTCTAACGAGCTGGAAGGAATTCCTCGCGAAGGCACCGGCATTCAAGGATCTGATGTAAGAGGATGTTTCGTTTCGATAGGTTGCTCATTCCTCGTCCTTGATTAGTGTGTTCGCTCACTCGCTACCTGATGCAAGTCCGCCTAAGGACCCCACCGAACCAGAGACACGCTGGTCTGAGTTTTGCGATGGTGGTAGCGTCAAGTACATCTGATAAGAGTTTGGTGAGGCTTTCCAGCTGATCTGGTGATGTGTGACTCGTGAATACGCTGGCCTCGGATCTCCGTCTGCCGCCCGGGCCTCCGGCCACTAATGGCTCCCCGAGACCCACCAACCAAACAGCCTGTGCTTGATCCACGTCGGCACCCTCGGATGATGGTCATGACACACTGACGTCCTGAACTATATTCCAGACGTCACCTTTTGTTTTGTCACTGCACTTTCAAATTGGCATCAACGCCTCCCTACCGTTTGTCCAACGTCGTTTCTGTGGCCGGCCGGTCGAATCATTGCACAATGTCTGCTCCCGCGCCCCGGCGCATGTTCCTGTATCCAGATCCTGTCCGAGCGTAAGCCTCTCCAGCACTTATCTTGAGGTTTCATGCACCTTACGGGAAGAGGCACGTCAAGCTGACTTGCAGTGTAGACCAAACGTACCGCAGAGGAAAGATGGCGGGCCGAACCCCAGGATATACGGCTGGTTCCTCGTAGCTGCTGCATTCTTGTGAGTTGTTACGATGACCTGTAGCGTAGCACGCCCTCCCATTTTTTGAGGCTGATGGCGCGAACAGTATGGAGAATGTCAGCTTCGTTCGCAGAGCCGCATGGAAAAACGCCAAGTTCGGGTCGCTCCGAGACATCTGGGACTACATCGTCACCGTGGAGCCACGACATGACCCTGCCGTGTTCCCTGTCGTAGACGATGCTAGCCACGCCGAAGTGAAGCCCACTGATCACTCGGACTCGGAGGGCATCTTGGATCAACATCATTTTGCGCGCAAATCATCCATGTTCCCAAATACGGCGGCATACTACCGTTCCCAGTATCTATCAGGAGAACTCACGCCGCTGGATGTCGCACATGCAATTTTGCCCCTCATCCGCCGCGACACGTCGCCACCCGGCGAACATTCCGTGGCGTGGATCGAGGTGCATGCTGAGCTGGTACTCAGAGCAGCCGAGGCATCGACGATTCGATATAACGAGAAGAGATCCCTCGGGCCGCTGGACGGTGTACCAACGGCCGTAAAAGATGAGTACGATGTCCTTGGCTACCGTACTACTCAAGGCGGCATCCACGATTATGCTGAATTTCTTGAAGTCGGGCCAGGGGCTCGGGGTAATGTAGGCCAGCCTTCTTGGTGTGTGTCAAAACTAGAGGAGGCTGGTGCGGTCATATACGGCAAGCTGTCATTGCACGAATTCGGCATGGGTAAGTTGACTCCATCTCATACCTCAGCCCTTCTCACCCTCTGATTATCATTAATTCTTCTAGACACCGCTGGTTACAACATATTCCATGGAACGCCGAGAAACCCGTACGACCCATCCTACTACACGGGTGGCAGTTCGTCAGGTTGTGGATATGCCGTCGCGACTGGAATTGTGCCCTTGTCCATGGGAGCCGACGGGGGCGGCAGCATTCGTCTCCCTGCATCCTTCTGTTCCGTCTTTGGACTCAAACCCACTCACGGAAGGGTGTCCTTTTACCCGGGCCAGAATCACAGCGGAACGGCTGCTGTGCGTGGTCCGATTGCATCCGACATGCGCTCCCTGGTTGCCCTCTACGAAGTCACAAGCGTGCCTGATCCCCAATCCTTCTTCCCGCCAGCAAAACCTTTCGACTTTTCATCAGAGGGGGAGCAGACCAAGATTTTGGGTTTCCCCATAGACTGGATCTCCCGTGCCGACCCAGAGGTCCAAAAGATCTGCCAGAACCTCATCGACCGTCTCGTTGACCAAAAGGGCTACACCGTCGTTCCCATTGACATTCCGCTTGTGGCCGAAGGACAAATAGCACATGCCATCACCCTCCTCACAGACGCATCTAGTCTCGTGCAGAGCACAAAAGGCATCTCACCCGCCAATCGAATCCTCCTGGCACTCGGACGCACCACACCGGCCTGGGACTTTCTTCTCGCCCAAAAGCTACGGCGGGTGCTGATGGAGCACCTGTCCTGGCTGTGGCAGCAGCATCCTGGGATGATCATTGTCACCCCTACGAGCGCCAGCGCTGGTTGGCCGATTCGGAACGAAAAGGAGCTGAAGTATGGCATTAGCGATGGAGATCAGACGATGAAGACGATGGAGTATGTGTGGCTGGCCAACTACTGTGGCGTCCCGAGTATCACTGTTCCCGCGGGATACGCCATGGCTGAAGGTAAAACTGGATCTGCCGTTTCGCCAACTGTGCCTGTTGGTCTGATGGGCACCGGCGAGTGGTGTTCAGAGGAGGCTTTGCTGCGTTTTGGTCTCGATGCAGAGGATGTTGGTCACGATATTCTGCGTCACCCACCGAATTGGGTTGATGTGGGACGTCTGGCAAAGCAAGAGAAGGAGCGTACTGGCTCTGTAACGGACGGTTCGGGGTCTGTGGTGACCGAGGGAGATGAGGTGCCTTTGATAGTATAATTGGCCGGTGATACGAGCGTCTGTCCCTTAGCTTCAGAAGTAGGTGTGATCCCATGTTAACTTCAACGGTTGACACAAGATTTCATATCTGTCTTATCGAGGGAATACGACCTCTGAATGCGAGGGTTTAGACAAGCCTGGGGTAAGAACACCCTTCATATTAGCCAGATAGAGCGCATGTGGGTTCGAATTCAAATAAACCTGACTGGGATTGTCAGTATTATGCATTTCCAGCTTCAGGACCCTAACGTCAAGGTCAAGTGAGTGAAATAGCTTCGTTCGTAATGAGTGGATCGGGGCTGTTAGCAAGTTTGACTGATTGATTCCCAAGCGCTCCTTCCGCGCATAGATTACAACATCATTATTTCTTCCTCCCGCGATGGCAAATATTCGATGATTGGAGAATGGTGCTTCTCCTTGTATGCACTGGTCTGACAGCACAGTGATGCGATAGTAAATGCCTCCATAGATTGAGCGCTGCACTCGAACCAAGAAGCCATAGAATGTTGTCGAACTCTGAGCGAGCTTCATCACCGCTGGTGATACGCGATCAACGCACGCGTGACCTCCAGGCATTTGATTATACCTTGGACCGCAGTCTCATACCAATACAAAGACGGAAAGACTCGCGTATCCCCGCCACTGCCTAACAATCTCCACCTACCTCATTCAACGTTGTCAGGAGTCAAGCGAGGCAAGGAGCGCCGTTAGCGGCGTGGCAGGATTAAGCCACATTCATATCACGAAGCAGATCGCAGTGTAGAAATAAGAGCTTGAGACCAATCAATGCATGGAGTCAGCCATGGATCGTCGCCGCCAGGGCGCTGCGGCAAGTCGTTAGTCCGGGCTTATTTTGGTGGCGTGGACAAGGGGTCGAGTTTAGCATGCAGGAGCTGAAAGCTTTCGTGCGCTACCCTGCAACTATCACGACAGAACTTGGAAGCTCAAAGCCTTGGCGGGCTGTCATTCAAGATATTAAGGGACCGACGCCGCTCTCAGTCATGCGGGGTCTGGCGCTGTATGTCCGCTCCTTTCTGGTGGAACACTTTTGCTTAAAGCATCTATCGATCCCACATTAACGCCTTCCGGGAGCACATACTCCACGAAGAACAAGCCTCTCCTCGCCCGATCTATTGAAATTTGAAGAAAAAGCACAAGATGGCCAGTGACGTACCCCGTGCCTCGGGCGGCTCCAAGATTCTCGCGTTCCTCGACATCATCGTCAAGCTGGCGGCCACTGGAGCGCTTATCGGCATCCTCGTCATGCTTCTTAAAATCAACGACAACCTCATCAAGGTGGTCGACGGCGATGATACGATAAATGTTGGCTTGCGCTACAGCGGGTCGACTCCTCTGCCCATCAACGCCGTTTTCGAGAACGGCTTCTCGCCACTCAGGGTCGACATCGAAAGCAACCTTGGTGACGGACCGGGCAGGCCAGTTTGGATCCGAAATGCCGTTCAGTAAATTGAAACACTCAATTCGGTTCCTTCAACATCAAGAAGGCAGAGAGTCGAGTATCTTTATCCACAGCATTTTCCCATCCCACGACACACACCGCATACCCGCCCATCCAATTCTAATGCACAATGCATTTTCGTCAATCTATACGCATATACCACATGTTAAGGGTCCAACACAGCAATGAGACGGACTCGCGAGGATAGCCATCGTTTAGTCTATCACGGCGTCGGATGAACATAATTATAACACAAGAGCCGGACTCGGAGGATATACCCTGCCGCAACAAGAAACGGATATCGACACATCTCACGAGATTTAAGGTCCCTTTGCGTTGTTCTCATCAAGGAAGTGACGCCGAATGTTTTGGAAATGGCGCACATGGCCGGACGTCGTCATCAGTGGTGCTTACCACCTTCCTCGACATCGGCTAGAGCATCGCTGTCTGTCTCCTTTCTCATTAGTCCTAATTTGCACTCTCAATACTAGTAACAAAGTACAGGAATGATTATAACATACCTTATTCGAACATACTGTGCTCCAGACCTTGAATGCCCACTTGGGTTCACGAGCTGTAAATTCTTAGACGTATCGCATCTTTGAAATTGTATTCCCGCCGTAAATCATGGAATGAATAGGAGCAAGGTTGAACAGCTCGAATCACCAGAATTGGCCATGTAGTCTCAAGGAAAAGCCCAAGAAGAGCCCAGAGAGGGGCTGGACACTGACTAGTACTCCTGCAAAACCCGATGGTAACAAGAAATGCCTCGTTGGCTTAGTGGTAAAGCGCATCACTAGTAATGATGAGATCACTGGTTCGATTCCAGTACGAGGCATCACTTTTGCCAGCATGAACATGGACAATCAATTTGTTTTGGCTGGCATGAAGCGCCGAAAGAATATCAGCAACCTCGCGTGGATCCTGCACCAGTCAATCGCACATGGCTCCAGTTGAAGCCACTACAGCGGAGCGTATTGCATTTTCAGGCGGCCTAGGGCCAACCAAGGAAGGCGCAGCAAGCTTGCGCAATGCAGTGAAACTTGAATGCATTTGACAAACGTTTCTCTGCCGACGAAAGCGTGAATAGTATGATAATCCCCTTGGATGTTGTTCAGCTGTTGTCTTGGCCAAGATACCTAACCTGGGAAGAAAGCCTGCTAGGCTTCCATCGTGGCTGCACTGTTCTTGGCACCGTCCCCCCCCCTATGCACTGGGCATAGCGCGGGTTGCTCGAGGGTGACCATGCCTGGCATACATGCGAGCCCGCGATTGTAGATCTTATCAATATCTTCCGGTTCCAAGCCTGAGCATTAGCATCACCAATGCGAGGACACGCGGTCGTCTTAGTGCTGTACCTGTCATAGCCCACATACAGCAGATTGTCGCAGACGGAGCGGCGGCGTATCGCCACCCCGTCGGAGCAGTGTCCGAACGGGACAAGAGTCGGACTGAAAATTGGTCGAAAGTTGGTCCGGGGGGTGGTTGGCTTCTTCACATGGCGCTTCGGCCGAGAAGCCGCGGTTTGTGGGCGTTTGTGGACCGCTAAATTTGACGTTAGATTCTAGCGAGTCATGCCGTGTGAATGAGGGCTTGAGAGTGCCGATCGAGGTTCCACAAGGCGAGGCAAGGTTGTCGCGGTACGGGAAAGCCAAGTGGCAGCAGGCCTCGGTTCGGAAGAATTGTTGAGGAGCAGTCAGTGATACGGACGTACCACCCTCTGCCCCAAGCTTCCTCACGATGCATTGAAACCGGCCTGGTAAGTTGTGGGCCACCAATACGCCTTTGTCTAGGTAGAAGCAAAGAACCTCGGGTTCATGTGGGGATAGTAGAGGTCGGCTTTGGGAGAGTCCCGGATATTGAGCCCGGCGAGGATCAAGCGCGCAAACCAGACCAGGCCTTCTTACCGAGTGTAGGATGTATGGTAAATCAAGCCATTCAGTCGCTAATGAGCGTGAACAGTGAGACCACTGAACGGGTCTTCATACTGGGCGTATCCCCTATCCACTATCCACGAGTGCCTAGCTCATCAGCGGGCTTCAGAGTTTGGGACCGTCAGTAATAGCTGGCCCTAGTTCCCTGCAGTGCCGTGGCCATAGCTCCATAGCGCGCTAGAAGAGGCAGAATTCATGGCAGATGGAGGTGTTCTGAGGCTGCTCGTAGGTTTCGTGGCCTATGTATGCAAATTGACTTCATCGTGCATAGCCCGCGAGTCAATGAACAGATGAACACGATATGGTCAGTCGGGCAGCCAGCCAACTGACCGCCGGCCGGGGTGACCGATCATGCTGTACGAGAATAACTAGATCGGGACAGGGAGTGCCGACACTGCAGATTGATTACCCTGAATCTCACTGGTGGTCGGCACCCACCCGCTACCACCCTGTCTTCGGTCCCTATTCCCAAGGCCCCTGTTGGCCCGCCCCCTGTTCGCACCATCGTTCATTTTTGCTGTGCTTGTAGAGGCGGATTGAAACAGTCCAAAACGTCACCATGGCATTGCTGGTCCAACCTGCTTGCGTAACGCTGAGCGAGAGCGAGGCGAGCCACTAGGGCACCACGACTTGTTTCCACGACTTGTTTGGGAGCGGAATTTGTTGGAACAAACATGCCGCGTGGTCCTCCGGTCCGTTTCTGTAAAAGGCGCCGGGCGGATGAAGTTTGGCGCATATCATCGCACGGGCGATACAGCACCGTACCCTGGGTGCCGTACCCTCAGGTAAGGCACCTTAAGGTAGTGGAGGAATGTATATATCACCAGCGGTGAAGGAGGCTTCTATCTAACTTTTGCCTACCCAACCCGGCCCATTTGAACAAACTACCAATACCCCTCACATCCTTCTCATTCATATCGTAGCATCTTCTTCCTTTTCACCTCCATCGCTAGTCCCATTCAATACAGTCCGCAACCATCCGGACGATGGCTGAAGAAACACCTATACCTGAGCCCCAGGGCCTACCGCTCATTGGCAACGTCAAGGAGATGGACCCCGATTTCCCATTGGGATCGATGACATCAATGGCCGACCGATTTGGTACTGCTACACACCCCTCTTCTGGACTGATGCAGGGTCGCCATCACAACCGATGCGGCGATGAGAGAAAGCATTAAAGCCCTTGGCTAACAGTCGCCCGCCCAAAGGTGAAATTTACCGATTGAGGTTCCCTGGCAGGACAGTCGTCCTGGTGTCCACCCAGAAGCTCGTCAACGAGACGTGCGATGAGAAGCGATTCAAGAAGTCGGTCAACTCATCATTAAATGTGCGCCAGAAAAAAAACATTTTTCGTGATACGCTCTCCATTCTAATCCCTGTGCAGCAAGTAAGAAACGGTGTTCACGATGGTTTATTCACAGTGAGTTCCCTATCTCTGCTGGAGACGTTCCCTGCCATCTCATGAGCGATCTAACAGGCAGTGAAGGCGAAAATGGGAGAGGAGAACTGGGGGATCGCCCACAGGATTTTGATGCCCGCATTCGGGCCCCTTTCCATTCGCAACATGTTCGACGAGATGCACGACATTGCCTCTCAGCTCACCCTCAAATGGGCCCGTTATGGCCCCGACACGCCCATCATGGTCACTGACGATTTCACGCGACTGACGCTCGATACCCTGGCACTATGCTCTATGGGCTTCCGTTTCAACAGTTTCTATTCTCCGGTCTTGCACCCTTTCATCGAGTCCATGGGTGATTTTTTGGTCGAGTGCGGCCACCGCGCGAACAGGCTACCGCTGCCGTCGCTCTTCTACCGCGCCAGGGATCAAAAGTTTGATGCTGACATTAGTGTCCTGCGGACAACCGCCAAGGAGGTCCTCGAGTCGCGTAAAGCCGGCAAGAGTGATCGTCGTGATCTGCTGACGGCCATGCTAGAAGGTGTTGACTCCAAAACTGGCAAGAAAATGTCAGACGAGAGCATCATGGATAACCTCATCACGTTCCTGATCGCCGGCCACGAAACCACGTCTGGTCTCCTGTCATTTGCCTTCCTCGAGCTGCTGAAGCATCCAGAGTCCTATCAGAAGGCTCAGAAAGAAGTCGACGATGTTTGCGGGAAGGGCACAATCAAGGTTGAGCACATGGCAAAACTACCGTATATTTCGGCCGTTCTCCGCGAGACTCTTCGTCTCAACGCCACGATTCCCCTATTCACGGTCGAGGCCTTCGAAGATACCCTGCTCGGCGGAAAATATCCTGTGAAGCAGGGCGAGACCATCGTCAACCTGCTTGCCAAGTCTCAGCTCGACCCGCTCGTCTTTGGCGAGACGGCCAACGATTTTGTCCCTGAGCGCATGCTTGACGCCGAGTTCGACCGCCTCAACAAGGAGTTCCCCAACTGCTGGAAGCCGTTTGGAAACGGCATGAGGGCCTGCATCGGCCGTCCTTTCGCCTGGCAGGAGGCCCTTCTGGTCATGGCCATGCTCCTGCAGAACTTCAACTTCATCCTCGACCCAACCTATCACAAGCACCTCAAACAGACTCTAACTATCAAGCCCAAGGATATGCACATGCGCGCCGTCCTCCGCGACGGTCTGACTCCCACGACACTCGAGCGCCGTCTTGCCGGCCTCGCCGTGCAGCCCGAAGCTACGAAGGAGACCGAGGAAATTCAAGGCTCGAGCGCCACGGGCGAGGGTCTCCCCCTCACCGTCCTCTACGGCTCCAACAGCGGCACGTGCGAGGCGCTCGCTCACCGAGTGGCTTCCGACGCGGCATCACACGGCTTCCGCGCTACAAAGGTGGACTGTCTCGACAGTGCTAACCAGACGCTGCCGACTGATCAGCCCGTGGTCATTGTCACGGCTTCATACGAAGGCAACCCTCCAGACAACGCCGGCCACTTTGTTGCCTGGGTTGAGGGTATGAAAAAGGACGAGGCACCTCTGAAGAACGTTAACTACGTCGTCTTTGGCTGCGGCAACCGTGACTGGGTGCAGACATTCCATCGTATTCCGAAGTTGGTCGACACCCAGATGGAAGCGATGGGCGGAACCCGTCTTGCGGAAATGGGTCTCACGGACGTGTCCACGGGCGAGGTTTTTACCGAATTCGAGACGTGGGAAGATGACGTCCTCTGGCCCGCTCTGGAAAGCAAGTACAAGACTGAAACTAAGAGCGATGCGGCGCCGACTCACAAGGTCAAGGGTATGAACGTTGAGATCACAAACCCCCGGACCTCGACTCTCCGCCAGGACGTCAAGGATGCCACTGTTGTCGATGCGCGAGTCCTCACCCAGGCAGACGGCGAGCAGCAGGAGGTGAAGAAGCACTTGGAAATCAAGCTGCCCGAGGGTCTGAGCTATAAGTCTGGCGACTACCTCGCGGTGCTGCCCATCAACCCCAAGGAAACCGTGCACAGGGCGATGCGATGCCTTCAGCTGCCCCGAGACGCTCATTTGAGCATCACAACCGATGGGCCGACCTCACTTCCTGTCAACGAGAGCGTGCCGGCCTATGACCTGCTGAGTTCCTACGTCGAGCTGGGCCAGCCTGCTACCAAGAGAGTGGGTGCTCATTATGCAGAACTGCAACCCCCATCCAGCTCTCCCCTTACTAACAGATTTCTGATAGAACCTTCTCGCGCTTGCTGAGGCTGTCAGTGACGACAAGACCAAGGCAGAGATCACCCGCCTGTCCGGTGATGCCTACGCCGAAGAGATCAGCAGCAAGCGAGTGTCCGTCCTCGACATTCTCGAGCGTTTCCCCAGCGCGCAGCTGCCCGTTGGTCTGTTCCTATCAATGCTGCCTCCCATGCGTGTGCGACAGTAGTAAGTTCTTTCTTTCCTGCCTCGGCGAAACATGAATGGCAACATTCAACAGAAAAACGGCACGAATGCGTCCGCAGAAGTCCGATCACGCGCTGACAGCTCGCAGCTCCATTTCGTCCTCCCCCATGTGGAACCCGGAGCACGCAACCATCACCTTCTCCGTGCTCAACGCGCCCTCCCTCTCAGGGTCTGGCCAGCAGTACATGGGCGTGGCCTCGACGTACCTCGACTCCCTCGCGCCGGGCGACGTGCTTCACGTCGGCATCCGCACGCCGAGCACGGCCTTCCGCCTGCCCTCGGACGCCGAGAACACGCCCGTCGTCTGCATCGCCGCGGGCACGGGCCTCGCGCCCTTCCGCGCCTTCGCCCAGGAGCGCGCCAGCATGATCGCCGCCGGCCGCCGGCTGGCGCCTGCGCTGCTGTTCTTCGGGTGCCGCTCGCGGGCGCACGACGACCTGTACCGCGACGAGCTGGAGCAGTGGGAGAAGCTCGGCGCCGTGAGCGTCCGGCGGGCATACAGCCGCGAGGCCGAGGCCAGCGAGGGGTGCAGGCACGTGCAGGATCGCATGTGGCATGACCGGGACGAGATTGTGGCGCTCTGGAGGAAGCAGGCCAAGGTTTTTGTCTGTGGCTCCAGGGGGGTGGCCAACTCGGCGAGGGACATGGCGATCAAGCTGAGGATGGAAATGGACAAGCAAAAGGGTGCCGAGGTGGATGAAAAGAGCGCCGCGGAGTGGATTGAGTCGTTGAGGAACGTGCGATATGTTATGGATGTCTTTGACTGAAGAGCGGGTAGGGAAAGGGGCTCGTGAGCGAAGCGGAGCACGAGCTGTCGTATGGGTGTCTGAAATGGTCGATGATCTGTACTGGAGCATGAATACTGTTTACCAAGAACACTTGCTTTCTAGTAACAACAAGAGTGCTGGGCTGACTACAATCCGGGATCTGTTCACCTTGGTGATTGGCTCCATTTGGTCGTGTTCGTCAGATTGGAGTGTGACGTTTGCTCAACCTGGTCCCAATGAGCGTCGAAACTGACTATGGTTGAACGATATCTGCAGTCTTCAGATAGAGAATACACCGCATCATTGTATCGGACGATATGCGTTCATTGTCACTCGAGGGCGAGTTACTTGAACACTGTGCTACAACATGTCGATTCTTCGACCGAGACGGGGCAGCAAGAAATGTCCGAGTTCGAATATTACAAGTTCTAGCTCTGTGTTTATCTTACGTCCTCATCATATTTTCGTGCCACCTCGATAATGATCATATTCATGCCAATCCATAAAGTCGTTCCCGCATCTAGCAATGCCGTACTTCTCCTTCAACGTCCCACGGTCTGCCACGCATCAGGTCTGTCAGCCTTAAGCGTTGCCGTTGTAGGCGATGAGGTTGGGGCTGCCGCCACGGATACCGGTGGCACGGCCGGAGGTGCCGAGGGCAACGATGCGGTTCCTGAGAGCAGCAGGGGTGTTGATGTTCTCAAAGGCGGCAAGGTAGAGGGCAAGGCCAGCAACGTGAGGGGCGGCCATGGAGGTACCGGTCAGGGTCCTGGTGGAGGTGTTGGAAGTGTAACCAAGAGACAGGACGTTGGTGCCAGGGGCGAGGATGTCGATAGCCGGGCCGAAGTTGGAGTAGCTGGTGTCCTCAGCCCAGGCGGAGTTGATGGCGCCAACGGTCAGGGCGTTGGGGGCGTTGGCGGGAGACCTGGTGGAGGCGGAGACGTTCTCGTTACCGGCGGCGGCGACGCTGAGAATGCCAGAAGAGTAGGCGGCGTTGATGGCGCTGGTCCAAGCAGTCGAGGTGGGACCGCCTTGATATTGGTGTCAGTTACACATCCACAGAGCCAGAAAGCGGCAGGACCCTGGAACTTACCGAGCGACAGGTTGATGACGGAGCGGCTAGCACGGTTCTTGCTGACGATGTCGTTCACAGCCCAGTTGAAGCCGTCGAGAATGATGGAGGTGGAAGACGTGCGGCCGACGAAGACCTTGACGTCAATGAGAGTGGCAGCCTTAGCAACACCGTAAGTCGTGCTGCCGATGGTGCCAGCAACGTGGGTACCGTGACCGATGCTCTGTAAAGGGGGCGTCAGTATAAGCTCGCAAGGTATGTGCTTTGATATTTGGTACACGTACGTCAACCCACTCTCCGCCAGCGGCGTTGTAGCCACGAATGGCGCGGCCGCCAAAGTTGGTGTGCGTGGTCAAGATGCCACTGTCAACGACGTAGGCAAAAGTGCCAGCGCCGGCCGAGTTGTCGTAGCGGTACGAAGTCGCGCCCGAGGTGCGGCTGGAAATGGAAGCGAGACCCCAGGGGGCGCTGGACTGGGTGGTGTAGGCCGACAGGGTGTAAATTTGATCAGGCTCAACGGCAGCAACCTGAAGAGTAGTCAGTCACTGAGGTCAAACTGGGGTCCATCAGCCCTTCAGGAAACGTACGTCAGGGTTGTTCTTCAGCTCCGCAACGACAGACTCGTCAAAGGTTCCGGCGTAGGCGTGGAAGTTCTTGATGTCGTAGGTCTTCTCGACACCGGCGAGATCGCGGCGTCCAAGGCTGCGCTTGTGGACGTCACTGACCCAGTTCAAGTGGGAGGCGACGTTGTCGGTCGAGATGCCAGACTTGAGGGTGACGATGTACTTGTTGGCAACATCAGGGCTGCCCGGGGCGACGGGCGCAGCGGCCGCGAAGGGCAAGAGGCCCAGGAGAACGTTCCTGAAGTTGACCATGATGACGATAGAAGGGGTTCGGAGACCGGAAGATAGACAGGCAAGACCGAGGAGTTGAAAGCAGATGAGAAGGCTGATGCTGATGAGTGAAATGAACAAGCTCGATGGGCGCGAGCGACCTCTTTTGTACTCCGCTTCAGATCCTCAGTCTGATTGATGCTCATGGCGGCGGTCCATCGTGGCATTGGCCTCCACAAGTTGTTGAGTAGAGGTAATCCAAGAACAGCAGTCAATGTCGTGATAGCATGGGGTATCTGGCGCCCAAGCTTACAACGTGAGGGGATAACATGCTACCATTTCGAGCTTCCTGATCGGTTCATAGGGGCGAGAGCTAAGGATGGCGGCAGTTGCGCAGATGAACGACGGGGTCGTCAAGTTAGGCGCAGGTCGACGTTATCGGGCCGGGGTGTGTCCCTGTTGCGCTGCGATCTAACGTCTCGGCAGCACCCTTAAGCTTGCCGTGATCTGGCGGCTAGACGAATCTGATGTCCGAACGGCAGGCATTCGCCGTAGCCAAGGCCCCTTGATTGGACATGCTCCGGCCGGTGCGCGCTCATCTGATGGGGGTTCCTCGTTGCGTTGAGGGGTGGGGGACCTGATCTGTCCAGGGTCCGTGAGGTATCTGGTGTTGAACTGCCTGATTGGGACGACGGTGCCGAAAGCTCGTGATCCTCCCGCATGTTTTGCGACGCGCCATTCGACCAGCGAGGTAATGACTGCCGATAACTCTGGGGCACAGATCGGCAGTCGCATTAACATTTGTGGGTTAGGTTTTGGGGGCAGAGGACACCGTCGGCGGTCCTAGGCTCACTACTGAGAGGACCGAGAGGCCATCAAGGGATGGCAACTCCTGCTTTGAGAGATGGACCTGCTTGACTGTCAAGGCCCAAGAAGGCAACTGGTTAAGAAAAAGATGCGCTCGTGCGAGCATTAGAAGTCGCATTATGGCGGCATTTGGACATGACTTTGACGTGCATCTCCCTGCCTCGCGAGTTCTCTTGTTCCCTTGGTCTTATTCAATTCAAAGGCACAGTAGTGATGTTGAGTTGTCGAACGCGGGGGTATCCGATGCTGATCCGGATGGTCATGGCCCAACTTCTTACACGACTGGGTATTCGGCGGGTCGCATGGAGATCCTGTTTCCGCCGTGCCGATGATCTGACACGAAGGTCTCGGAGGGTTGTTGGTTGCTGGGGTTGTTGGCTACTGTTGGCTGGCCCTTTGGAAATGAGGGATTACACCCATCATCGAGGGCTCACTTTCCACCAGAACCAAGATGATTCGGCATCAGGTCCGTGATTCTGTCAACTGGAGGCCGGCCGGGCTCCGGCACCAAGCACAGCATAACCGTCTTCGTTGTCAGCGCCGTAACGATGCCGTGATAGCACAAGCCACACTCACACACCAGCACGCCATCGATCACCGACATACACTGGCGCGAGTCTTGCGCTTCAACTTGTGCTGGCGCCCGGAAAAGCCCAGAGCTACCTTCCTGACTAGGCATGAACTTCGCAATCGGCGTTGTGGTGTGACATGGATTCGGCTTGACAAGGGGGCGGCCCGTGGATGGTGGTG